AGTGTTCTTCTGAGAAGCTTTCAATTTTGTTCAAGTCCAACTTATCAATTTGTTCTTTATGGTTCATGTGTTTTGTGTCCTAGCTAAGAAATCTTGACATACCTCAAGGATGCAAAGATTTTTCTACTATGTTTTCTTCTAGAATATTTACAGTGTTGGCTTTATGTTTCAGTGTATGATTTATTTCAAGTTAATTTTAGTAGATAGTGTGAAGACTTGAGGTTCATTTTTTTTTTTTTGCAGATAAATATCCAACTGTACCTGCACAATTTATTGAAAAGATTATCCTTTCTCCTTTGAATTGTCTTTGTATCTTTGTCAGAAATCAGTTGATTTCTGAGGAGGTGGGGCCAAGATGGTGGAGTAGTCAGATGCTTCCTGTAGTCCCTTTTACAACAAAGACCCCAAAAAAACAAATGAATCGATTGTATATGACAATCTAGTAGCCCTGAACGTCAAAGGTGAAGATGAGGAATTGGACTGAGTGGTGGGGGGAGGGAGGGATGGTTCAGAAGCAGCAAGGATTTGCCAGATCTGATGCAGTGGTAGCTGGAGTCCTTCAGGCCGGATCAGTTCCTGGTGTGCGGTGAGGCAAGCCATGATGCTCTGGAGGCATTTTCCACATTCGGAGAGACTCAGCAGCAGAAAGACTACTTAGCCATCCAGAACCAGTGAGAAGCAGCCCTCAATCAGCAAAAGATAAGTACTTGCGTCTTGCCTACCATGCGGATCAAAAAACATCTCATTTGGGAAAAAACCTGTCTCCCATTTACCTCTCCCCTCTCCACTCTGCACTGGGTCCTGGGCTGGCTTCAGTGAGTGCCAAGTCCGCTGGGCTGGAAGTAGGACCCTTCAAGCACCCTGAGCCATTATCCCAGCCTTGGAGAGGAAACAAATTAATAAACAGGGAAAAAATAAGTTGCCGGCTCCCTTAAGCCAGGAACTCAGGGTTGGCACAGCTCCTTTGCCTAGGCACAGGTGTAAGACGTCCATGGACTTTGAATGTCTCACCCCAGCATAGACTTGTGTGGGCCCATTTCTACAATGTAGACCCTCCTAACCACAGTACAACAGGGTATATACCTGAAGTCTAACTTCAACTGTTTCACTTGTGAAGTGGCAGGTTTGTGACATTTGACACTGCTCTGCCCATTAAGGAAGTTCCTCACCTGCTCACATCAGGGGCCTGAGGATTGGTGGCTCCACTCGCACCATCTAGCCATCTATGACAGGGGCCCAAGAATAAGTGATGCCCCCCAGTCCTTACAGCCAACAGCATTGGGGGCTCATAGTCCAGCTGCAAAACCCACCCACCTACCTGCTGTAAGGAATAGGGACACGCTTTCCATCTAGACACTCAGGGGCAGCCATCAGCCCCCTGCCTTGCTCAGCTCGTGACCCCCTACTGCAGCCAGATACCTGTGCCTACACCAATCATCCATGACTGCATAGAACTTTAGGTGAGAGCCTGCACCACACACCGACTATTTGGACACCTGAGCTGAATCCATACAAGAGAAGTTAACGGACTCTGGGCTCACACACCTAGTAACAGATCTAACCACTTGGTGACAGGACGTTAGAGCTTCAAAGGGGCCAATAATCAAACTAGCTCACACGAGCAGCCTATTTGGGCATATCAAAATGAAACAAAACAAGAAACTAGGACACAGTAAGCAAAAAAGAATAAATAAATTATCATAATTTATTGATGGCTCGGAGACAACAGTCAATATCAAATCTCATAAACAGGCAGACCATGATGGCTTCAGCAAGCTCCTAAAATAAAGAATCAAGAAATTTTCTGGAGGAAGAGAATTTCTTGGAATTACTGGAGGCAGAATACAAAAGATTAAAATACAGTACTCTTCAAGATATTCAGAAGGAGGTCCTTCAAAATGCATAGAAAGCCAAAGAACATACAGACAAAGCAATAGAAGAACTTAAGAAGGTTATTCAGGAGCATAATGACAAATTTAATAGGCTGCAAGAAACCATAGAGAGACAGCAATCAGAAATCCAGAAGATTAACAATAAAATGTCAGAATTAGACAACTCATAGGAGAAGAATTGAGGCAGTAGAAGTCAGAATTAGTGATACTGAAGATAAAGCACTTGACACCAACTTATCTGAGGAAAAATCAGATAAAAGAATTCCTAAAAATGAAGAAACTCTAAGAATTATGTGGGACACTATCAAGAGAAATAACCTACGAGTGATTGGAGTAGCAGAACAGGGGAGGATAACAGAAAATACAGAGAGAATTGTTGAAGATTTGTTGGCAGAAAACTTCCTTGATATTGTGAAAGATGACAAGATATCTATCCAAAATGCTCATTAAACCCCACATAAGGTAGATCCCAAAAGAAAGTCACCAAGACATATTATAATCAAACCTGTCAAAACCAAAGATAAAGAGAGAATTTTAAGAGTAACTAGGGATAAACGAAAAGTCATCTACAAAGTAGAGTCAATAAGAATAAGCTCAGACTACTCAGCAGAAACCATGAGGGCAAGAAGTCAATAGGATGACGTATATAAAGCCCTGAAGGAAAAAAAATACCAGCCAAGAATTATGTATCCAGCAAAACTGTCTCTCAGATATGATGGTGAAATTAGGGCATTTCCAGATAAACAGAAGTTTAGGGAATTTGCAAAAACCAAAGCAAAATTACAAGAAATACCAAAGGGATTCCTCCGGTTAGAAAATCAATAACATCAGATAACAACCTAAGACTAGTACACAGGGTAGAGCAACCAGATATCAACCCAGATAGGGAAGTCACAAAAATAAACCAAAGCTAAAACACTGAAAATAGGGAAACAGAGATGTCAATATATAAAAGACGACAACATTAAAACAAAAAAGAGGGACTAAAAAATGTAGACATAGATTTTTCATATGGAGAGGAAGTCAAGGCAATATAAAGAAATAAAAGACTGGTTTAAACTTAGAAAAATAGGGGTAAATATCAAGGTAACGACAAAGGAAACTAAAATCCTACAAGTCAAAATAAAAAACAAGAAAAATATAAAGACTCAGCAAATACAAAATCAACAACAATGAAAAAGATGGAAAAAAATACATAAAGAAGAACTACTCAGCACAGAAGATTAAGTGGAACAAAGAAACTGTCAACAACACACAACAAAAGACATCGAAATGACAGCACTAAACTCATACCAATAATTACACTGAATGTAAATGGAATAAATGTACCAATAAAGAGACAGAGAGTGGCAGAATGGATCAAAAAACACAATCCGTCTATATGCTGCCTACAAGAGACACACACAAACAAACGAAAACTCAAAGGATGGAAGAAATATATCAAGCAAACAACACTCAAAAAAAAGCAGGGGTGGCAATATTGATTTCTGACAAAATAGACTTTAAAGTAAAATCCACCACAAAGGATAAGGAAGGACAGTATATAATGAGTAAAGGATCAATACACCAGGAGGGCATAACTGTAATAAATATTTATGCACCCAACGACAGGGCTCCAAAATACATAAAACAAACTCTAACAGCACTGAAAAGATAGACAGCTCAATACACAACAGCCCAGGGACGAGGACTAGAAGGCAGGTGGGGACAAGAAAGCTGATAATAGGAAACCCAAGGTTGAGAAGGGATAGTGTTGATGTGTCATGGTGTTGTTAAAAAATGTCATAAAACAATATGTGTACCGTTTAATGAGAAACTGTTCTGCAAACCTTCATCTAAAGTACAGTTAAATAAAAATAAGATACCTACTCCTTCCCTGGACTTTTATCTTGCAGAAGTAATCTGTGATGTGATGTTTCTTTGTACAAAGATGCTCTTTACAAGTTATTTATAATAAGAAAAGTGTATACAAACCAGCCAACACCACATCATTGGCTTTTCAAGTCTACATCTGCCTGCTAGAATATTATATAGCCCTTAAAAATACTATCGAATAAAGTCTGTAATTAGCTGAGGAGTAATTATTTTATAGAGTGCAAAAAACAGAATAAAATATGATGTATGTAATGAGCTCTCAGATACATAACAGAAAAATATGGAACTCTAGATGAAAATATGCCTGCGTATTAACTGTCTCACAGTGCTGGAATTAGACATTATTTCTGTCTCCTTTCCTGTATTTGACAAAAAGACCGTGTTGGCTCCCAGTCAAGATGGAGTACCAGGAAACAGATTTACCCCCAGCTTTAAACAAACAATAAATGGGCAATATAAATGAAACATCATGGAGGAAGGCTCATTAGCAACCTGCGATATGCAGATGATACAGCCTTGCTTGCTGAGAGTGAAGAGGATGTGAAGCAGTTACTGATGAAGGTCAAAGAACAGAGCGGTTTCAACCTTAGGGAGACACGGGTCATCCGACAGCCCAGTTTTGTCCTCTGATATGTTAAAATGAAACAGGACTCCTTGGAAGATAGCTAATGCCTGTTTCGTGGAAAAGAGAAAATCAAAATGGGTCTTAAACATCTCTGGTCTAAAACGGTATTCTTTTTCTTTCAGACCTGGTCAACAAGTGAAGCCCTAGAAAAATATAGAACAAGAACTGGAAAGATTAAAAGCAATTGAACCTATGACACCAAGGTTTTAATAATAGCTTTAAAAATAATAGGGATGGCATGATAAGTTTTATCATCATTGTGATAACTTGAACATGTTTTATTGTTTAAGGTGTCTGAGACATTTCAAAGAAATCTAAAATAGTTTGTTTGTGATTTAACCAGCAGTGGGATTTGATTAAATGAGTCTGAGAAACATTTCAATGTCAATGAAAATTTAGTATACAAAATGTGTGTTTTAATTTATTAGTTGTGTAGTCAATGCTTAAAGGTTTAGTAGAACTTTAGCAACTTTATATGATTAATAAATCAGGCATTTAAACACAATCCACAAAAGGACAGTTCTCTACGTCCAAGAGCCCTTTAGACAAGAGCCCCGATGTCTCCATGCCCCTGCTGGTGAGGACAATGCATCAGCACACCTGAGGGTCCTCCCTGGGGGAAACGTCATAGTGCTTCTGAAGGTCTGGCCAAGTCTCTCTTCTTTGCATGGTCACTTAGGGGAACTAGGGAAGAGTTTCCTAAGGGCTGCTTTAAACTTCTTGTTTCTCAGGGTGTAGATAAGGGGGTTCAAAGTGGGCGTCACGATGGTGTATAGGACAGTGACAAGCTTGTCTGGGAGCCTGGTGGAGCCAAGAGCAGGCCGGACATAAGTGTAGAGCACAGTGGAGTAGTACAAGGTGACCACAATGAGGTGGGAGGAGCAGGTGGAGAAGGTGCGGCGCTTGCCCTTGGCCGAGTGGACGTGCAGGATGCTGGCAATGATGCAGCCGTAAGACACCGTGGTCAGCAGGAAGTTCAGACCCGACAGGAATATGTCTGCAGTGACGGTCATGACGTCATTAAGGAAGGTCGAGCTGCACGACAGCAGCAGCAGGGGTGGGATCTCACAGAAGAAGTGCGCGATGAGGTTGGGGCCGCAGAAGTTCAGCTGCAGGACCAGGCCAGTCAGCAGGGAGGCGTTGAATGCTCCCATGGACCACACGAAGGCTGCCAGGGCTATGCAGACCCTGCCTCTCATGAGCATGCCATACTGCAGTGGCCAGCAGATGGCCAGGTAGCGATCATAGGCCATGGCAGTGAAGAGCAGCAGCTCAGAGCTCAGTGACCAAGTGAAGAAGAACATCTGGCTGAGGCAGCCTCCAAAGGAGATGGTGCTGTCTGCCACCAGGCTCTGCAGCACCTTGGGCAGGATGGATGAGGTGCAGACCATGTCCAACACAGCCAGGTTGACTAGGAAGAAGTACATGGGGGTGTGCAGATGGGAGCTGCAGCGGATGGCTGCAATGATCAAGCTGTTTCCCACCAGGGCCACTTCGAACAGGGTGAAAAAGAGGCAGAAGAGGGCCGCCTGGAGCCAGGGGTCCTGGGTGAAGCTCTGCAGGACAAACACAGTCACCGTTCGGTTCTCCACAGCCATGGGCCGTAGCTGGGCTGCATCTGCTGGGGCGCCTCAGGGAGTGCAGCTTCCTAGTCAGGAGCCAATGGACTTGACTTTTAACTGAAAAATAAAAAAGTGAACAACTCCATTTAGTGGAAGACCCTTTGTGGAAGGGAAAAAAATAGATTTTAAAGTTTCCATTCATGTTCTGGGTTCACTAATTAAGGGAAACAGCAAGCAAAGGGCAGACAGATGCCTAGTGGAGACCCAGTGTATGATGATGGACCAAAACTGAAGACACTCACATCACTGAGTGTTTTTAGGTGCTTGACTGTGACCCAGTCACAGTGTCTGCAGAGCAGAGGGTGACCCAAGGCAGCAACCTCCACAACACCAGAGGCAGAGAGAGGGGCTCTGGTCAGTGCATCCAGATACCAGACCCACAGTGGGCACCCAGGACACCTGAGGGGAGGGGAGGAATGGGATCAACAGGATGAAAAGGCAATGGAACTAGAGAAGGAAGGTAGGGGAGGGCAGAGGAAAAGCTGATGTTGCTTTTCAAGAGACTAACACACAGAACTCAGGATAAACATGTGAGCAGCCGCCTGTAGGTGTCGGACACTGTTCAAGGGCAGAGAGTGCTAGATCTCCATTATTGACACACCTCCCTTTCCACCAAGGCAGAGGAAAGCTACCAAATGTCATTCTATCTGGATGTCCGGCAACCCAGGAGCCCCCACCTGCCACCAGGACCCCCAGGCAGAGAGGAGGTCATCAGGATAGGCACGACCTCAGTCATAGGAGGACAGGGCTGCAGAGAGTTAGGAAGGACCTCACCCTGAAGCTGTGCTCTGTGCTTGTGTGCAGACTGTGTCTCCTAGAACATTGGGACTGCAGTAACCTTGAGCCTCAGAGACTTCCTGGAGAGCAGTCAACAGGTCGGACTTCTGCCCCTACCCTGTCCTCAGTCCCACCAAGAGTCCTGTGGTTTTCTGGAGCTGACCAGGAGACTCTGGACATACAGTCTACCAGCATCTCCCTGGTCAGATGAGTTCCTGATGAAGAGGAGAGGAAGCTGCCCAAGCCCACATTGGTGGGTGGTGAAAAGAGCGCAGTGCCTGGCTCCCTGGGCACAGGTGCGCTCCAAGAATGGAAGAGTGGTTTTACATTGGCCATAAAGGATGGTCCTGCCAACCTGTCTCAGGTGGGCACACACCTGTAGGTTAGGTACCTACTAATCGGAGCCAAGTTGGTTCAAAACATGCCTTAGAGAGTGTGTGAAGCAACTAGCCCTCGTCTGTCTCATCATAAACTGGTTCCTATGATTTCCAGCATCATAATGGGTGGAAATTATCATCATGCTTATAAAGATTTCTGTTGTTGTCTCTATGCAATGCAGTCATGTAAAAGGATGCTGTGAGTGTGGTCACTGTCTGGTAATTTGGAGCTCTTGATATGTATTGCATGAGCTCCAGCAGCCACAGAGGCCTCCCAGACTCACTTCATCAAACCATTGTGAACAGGGTTTGGGGGACAGACCACAGTGCCGCAGAGGGTAAACAGCCCTTCAGCGGTCATTCAGCCCAGTAGCATGGACTCCATTCGAGCTGTTAATATTTGTACCAGTGCTATCTGTAACATGCTGTCCCATGCTCTTCCCCCCATTTTAAAAACAAAACGAAACAAAGTGTAATAAAAGAAGCAAACAAACCACTCGTGTCAGGTATTTGGGCCTTTTTCCGAATGGCTTCTCTGTTCAGTTGTACAAACTCCAGGGGACAGACAGACAGAATGGAGGAGTTGGCAGTCCCATTAGTGTCCACAAAGCACTCCACAGACTGGCAGGTCAGTCTGCTGCTGCAGGCACTGGAGGATTCCAAGCCCAGCCCCTCTTGCTTCCTGCAGAGGACACGCAGGGCTGGAGCTGGGCTGGGCAACGTGGCCAGTCTGCCTTTTCCACCAAAGGCGTGGCTGTTTAGTCACTGACCCTGCTGTGTGTGCAGACAAAGGCTGTAGGGTCCAACAAAGAGAAACACAAGGTGCCCAGGTGAATCTGAATCCCAGATCAATAGTGAGTGCATTTTTAGTGTAAGTATGCCCCAAACATTGCACTGGAAATACTTATGCTGAACATTATTTGCTGTGTATCTGAAATTCAAATTTACCTGGGCACCCTGTATGTTTCCAGACACGACCCCAAAACCCCCTTTCTGTAATTGGGGAAGCACCCTTATTGAGGTTAATGTGCTTGACAGAATCCTGTGGACCATGAATTTCAGGACCACGTCCCTGTCCGAAAGCCACTCTCACTTTGCACTCACCTCAAACGCCTCCCAGAGGCAGCCGGACAGAAGCCAAGCACCTGCCTTTCTGAGGTGTCAGGTTCAACCCTGGGGGGCCCAGCAAGTGTGAGCGAATGTGGGGGGCCTCTGCACGTCACAGCGGGAACATGCACCGTGCCATACAGGGTCTGGGAGGCAGACGGGGTGGGGAGGGCAGGGGTCTGCTGAGGAGATCCTGAAAGCGGGTGCCCAGAATAAGGAGCTGGGGGCGTTGGTGGGACCACAGGGCTCCGGAGGCTTCAGTGCAGATGTGGTCAGGGAATGAGCACCCCCACCCGGAGAAGGAGGGTGCACGGCTGGGATCCAGCATTGCTGGTTCCTGAATCACTTCTGAAGTCTGTCCATCATGCTTTTGTGCAGCCTTGGGCAAGACTCTATGAGCTCTTATTGAAAGCAAAATGCCTCACTTTCTAAAGATGGGGAAAATCACAGAAACATGAAGCACCTACCTAGGCATGCTTGCAGAGACTGTGAGAAATAGAAAGACAGACAGACAGACACAGATAAAGAGACAGAGACAGACAGACAGACGGAGAGACACACACAGAGAATGAGTAAGAAGTGTGGCCGTGCTCTTTCTCCCCCCACCCAGCCCCCTACTCCCAGCCACCTTGTATCCTGAGCTGCAGAGCCCAGCGAGTAGACGGGCTGCCCAACTCCAACTCCTTGTTTTCCTTATCCACCTTTTTCTTTAATATTGAAACTCAGACTCCTTCACTAAACATCAAAAGTGTCACAGAAACTCATTTATGTCCTTCTGACACTAGGAGGACCCTAGAGCTTGGTGAAATGATTCTCTCTAGTTTAACTATCACAAAGGTAGAAAAAAAGGCACAGCACAATTTTTAAAAGGAATTCACATCAAAGGCTTTTTTCTATCTCATGAAATATTCCAGCCAAACCTCTAAAATAGGTCAACCCAACCACCGGCAGTGTCTACATGCCCAGTGAGGTGCTTGCCTCTTGCAGTGAGGATGCATCCGTGTCCCTTAGCCCAGGGCAGAGGCCTCTACCTTCTCCCCGCCAGGAGCTCCATCACAGCCACAGTCTGCTGCTCAGGGATCCAGAGACACTGCTGGCAGCAGGTGACCTTGGTTTAAGTAGAGGCAGCCCTGGCTGTGTGACATAACTATGGTAGCCACCACACCCTCAGGAGTCCTGCTTTGGGTCTTGCAGAGATGGCGTTAGCCTTAGCTCTGACCCGTGACCAGAGAGAACCCATCAAGGTCCAAAAGGGGAGTGACCCTTCACAAAGATGGACAATGCCTCTCAGAGAGGTCACCAGGCCCACCCCAGTCATTCTTCCCTGACACATCTTCACACATGTTCCTGTAGGTGAGACCCAGCTGCCATGAGCCTGCAGAAACGCTCTCATGGAAATGGTGCCAGAATTACAAACAATTCACTGTTGGCTGGACAAGGGCCAGTGGGTCTCTAGTCAGGTCCCAGTCCCCATCCTGCTGTCCCCAGGGTCTCCACAATATCAGATACATCATGCCACCTTTATCTTCCTCAGAAAGCATTCATGTACCTGACTAACTGCTAATTATTTAATAGTGAAAACTGATACCTCATCATCTCTTGTTTGGAGTTGTAGAATAATTAATTAGTAGGAAAATAAATATGTTAATCACTTTGAAAATTGCCAATTAACAATGTGAGTGCTAAGATATTTCTTAGCTGGAAAAACAATTTATAAAGCAGAGAATGAAAACTTGGTTTTGATCAATTTTAGTAGCATAAGTTAAGTTGATATGAGTCTCCCCCAGGGCAACTTCTTAGGTTAATCCGGATTTTGTTTTTCTAATATATCAAGTGCTTCAATTAATTCACTCAGAATGCATCAGGTGATGCATGGATATCTGCCAAACTTAGGATCTGCTTACATTTAACAATATGTGTTCTAACCTGTCGATATTGGAGGCTCATTTGTTCCATCACTGAGTTGTTAGTAGCAGAGTATGAGACAAGTTCTGTGTTGAATTCAGAAGAGGTGGCGAAAACTGAGGCAGAAGCTGGGTCCTTAGTGAGAGTTCAGCTGTGAATGAGGGTAACGGGCCCAGGGTCTGGAACGAGTCCCCTTTGGAGAGCACGTACATCAAACGAAGAAAGAGCTGGAGTTTCTGCTTTGGACAGGAATCCATCTGAACAAGCAGTCTGTGTGCAGTCAGTGTTGTCATAGTGGTGCTGGTTGGAAGAATCCTTTGCTTCTGTGGTGTAGGCTTCTGTTGATGGGAATGATGTCACCATGAGAAGTCATGGGCTGGCTAGGTGGAAGAGTGTGCGGTTTGCAGAGGAGAGGGAGAAGGGCCCCCAAGGATTCTGAGCCACCAACTGACAGTGGAGCTCAGGTGTGGCTGCTGGGTCATCCCTTTGCTTGGGGAGGTAGGACCAGTAAGGACCCACTATAGTCTGAGCTGTTGCCTTCTTGAGGTGGGTAGTTTTGCAGATCCTTTTTAAGGATGGCAGATCAGGCACAGACACTTCTGTGAGCTTGTTCTGTGATGGTGACGGGAGGGCTGAGACCGAGGCAGGATGGGGGTGTTGGTGCCCAGGATGGGGGTGTGGGTGCCCAGGATTGGGGCCAAGCACAGAAGAAAGGGGCAGGGTAGTCTTAGAGGCCCCACCAGCCAAGGGGGACAGTCCTCTGCTTCTCTCTCTTGCCCTCCTGTTTTCATCCCTTATTGGCCAAAGCTG